GGAACTCACCATGACGTAATCAGCCCACATGTCCCACTCGGAACTCACCATGATGTAATCAGCCCACATGTCCCGAGCCGACTTCAGGGCCGCTTGGCGCAACTTCATGACGTGCTCGTAGCGGGAGTCAGACCAGTGTTTGGGGCCCTCTTCATCTGGGTAGGCGCTGTGGGAGAGAGCTGGGATGTAGGGATTGGGGGGCGCCCACCACACCTGGGAGGGGACCACAGGAGGCTCCACAGAGGAAGAGGCCTACAGCGGATCTGAAGGCCTCCACGCAGAGCTTGGGGAGACAGGTGCAGGGGCCCAGGTGCAGGGGCCCAGAGCCACAGAGGCTGCTGGCAAGCTGGGGACCAGGAAAGCTCTGCGCGGCGAGGGAGGTCCTGGGGCCTTCGAGGTGCCTCTGGGCACGGAAGGAACAGGAGAGCCCACGAAGATGACCGGATACAAACCCACAGACCGGTGTGGGGGGAGGACATCTGTGATTCCAGCACTCAGGAGACTGAGGCAGGAGGATGGCAAGTCCCAGGCCAGCCTGGGCTACAGTGAGGCAGGCTCAGCACGGAGTTAGAGGAGAGGAGGCTGGGACACCCTGAGGCAGGAACGCAGCAGCAAGTGGCCAGCAGACACAAAGGAATTCCGCCACGGGGGCGTGGCAGGTTTGCGGCCAAGGCTGGACAATGGGGTGAGGGACGGTGGGGACAAAGGTCTGCCGGAGGATCGCAGTCTGCTGGTGACGCCCGGGGTGGGGGCAGGCGTGCGTGCTGGCTCTTGGCTTGGGCTTGGGTACCCCAGTGAGGGCTGGAGGCTCACCTCGGTTCCTCGGCCGGTCGCCACTCCACGGAGTGGTACAGGCCCTTCACGGCCACCAGCCACTCTCGAAGTATGGCCGAGGTGTTGTCCGAGTTATGGTCGGTGGCCACCCTGTGAACACGAGGGGAGCATGGGTCAGAGCGGCTGGGGAAACAAAGGCAAGGCGGAACAACAGGATGGCACTGGGGGCTTCCCATGCTGGCCCGGTCCCCACCGCTACAAAGCCCTGGATAAGCACCCTCTGGCTCAGTGCCTACTGCCCGGCACAGCTCACTCTACAGATGAATGAAGCCTGCTAATCTGGAAAGCCCACTGCTGAGAGGCCCTGTCACAAAGAAAAACTGTGTAAAAGGAAACTGAGTCAGGATGTCAAGTTCCCGGGCCAGGGTCTCTTCATAGCTGCCTCGTCTCTGTGTGTGAAGAGTCCCTTCCTCCATTCTCGGGTCACACAGTTGTCTGACTGGGGCTGGAAACCTGTTAAGTTCATTGACTCTATCTCAGCGTGAAAGGCCGGCCCGAGCCTGGGGCGCCTGATCTGGAAGCTGCTGCTGGCCTTGCACAGTGCGCTGGAAGGGTCTAGAAGCAACAGCCTGGCCCGTTCTGAGGGAGTCTGGGGTCCTGTAGGGTCGCAGCTCGCTGCGAGGGCTGGCAGCAGCTCAGACTCTGTCGCAAGGGGGCAGTAACTCCGGGTCCCAAGCTGCAATGGGGACGGAACCCGGTACTTCGGGTACACAGCCGAGTTCCCTGGGTGCACAACCCAAGTAAGTCCCCAGGTGGAAAACCAAGTCCCTCGGGTGCATAAATAAGAGTCTCGGCAGGGCAGAGCCGAGTCCGCCAAGTGCATAACCGCGTCCCTCGGGTACAAAACCGGGTCCCCCGGGGGCACAGCCTAATCCCCCGAGTGCGCAGCCGAGGCCCCGCGCACGCAGCCCAGGTCCGCCGCTCACCACAACGCCGTGCGCTCCCGTGGGTGGCGCAGCCGCTCCAGGGCGCCCAGCGTGGCCGGCAG